GAGCAGCGCCCACCCCCCCGCGGTGCTGCGGACTCCTGGCGCTGCGGGAGGAAGGAGCCGGTTGTGCGGTTGCGCCGGACGGGGACCCTGGGGCGAGCGGGCAGCGAGGGAAGGGGTGCGAGAGAACCCAGCGAGCAGGGGGGGGAAGGCATACATACATATCTCGGGCGATTCATCCGAGCCATCCGGACAATCCTTTTCCCCGTCACAGCGCCAGCCCTTAGATACGCACGTTATCTGATCTTTGCATGCAAACTGTTTAGGGCTGCACGTCTTCGGTGCTGGATGAGAAAAGAAATAACGATAATAAACAAGATGAGTTTCTTCCCAAAGACAAGTTGTTTAAAGAAAAATAAAAATTGAAATTAAGGACTAGATTGCATTGGGTTTGATTTCTTTCTAACGACGCGGGGAAAAGTCGGCGTCAGATCCATCAGCCTCGCCCCTAAGGAAAGGAGAAAATTTAAACTGGAGCATTAATTACACCACGAGCAAACAGGAACCGAGCTCCATGATGCACCAACAGATTTTAAAGATCATTTAACTTGGATGAATTAGCTCCTGGGAGCCCAAGGCGGTTTATTTTCTGTGCTAGACAGTAAAAAAAGACAGGGGAAAAAAAATAAGGAAACCCAAATGAGCACAAATTAAAAAGTAATATTTTTAAATCACCAAGGCAGCAGCCGCAGCCGGACGGGTTCTCCATCCTCCTGGCACCCAGGAAACACCCCCGTGCATGGCCGGGAGGGTGCCCTGAGGGGGGGGCTGGCGGCCCCGGCACCGCCCCCCCGACACCCAGAAATAAAGCAAATTCATCACAAAAGCAGCGGTGAAGCCTGAAGCACAGAGCGCAGAACCGGCCTGAACCCGGGGACGGGAGGGGGGCTGGGACCGACCCGGGCACCTGCCCCCCCCCCCTCCAGGCAGCTCCAGGCTGGGGGGGGGGGCGCCCCCCCCCTGCCGAAACCAGCACCTCGCCGAGGCTGGCTGGAGTGGGGGGGTCACTGCACCCCCACCAAGCACAGGCTGGAATGGGGGGGTCACTGCATCCCCCTGAGAACAGGCTGCGATGGGGGGGTCACTGCACCC